GAGTCAGAATTTGGCGTAAACAGAATGAGAACAAGGAACCATCATGCCTTGTTACCACTGTGCAGGCTGGTGGTAGTGGTGTAATGGTGTGGGGGATGTTTTCCTGGCACACTTTAGGCCCCTTAGTGCCAATTGGGCATCGTTTAAATGCCACGGCCTACCTGAGCATTGTTTCTGACCATGTCCATCCCTTTATGGCCACCATGTACCCATCCTCTGATGGCTACTTCCACCATGTCACAAAGCTCTAATCATTTCAAATTGGTTTCTTGAACATGACAATGAGTTCACTGTACTAAAATGGCCTCCACAGTCACCAGATCTCAACCCAATAGAGCATCTTTGGGATGTGGTGGAACGGGAGATTCGCATCATGGATGTGCAGCCGACAAATCTGCGGCAACTGTGTGATGCCATCATGTCAATATGGACCAAACTCCCTGAGGAATGCTTCCAGCACCTTGTTGAATCTATGCCACGAAGAATTGAGGCAGTTCTGAAGGCAAAAGGGGGTCCAACCCGTTACTAGCATGGGGTACCTAATAAAGTGGCCGGTGAGTGTATATATATATATATATATATATATATATATATATATATATATATATATAATAACAAATACAAATGGAAAGACATAAGAAAATAAAAACAGTCTGGGACAATCAATTGACAGAATAATTCAGCGATTCAGACTTTGCAATTCAAATGAGATGGTCTGTCTGGAGGTTTCCAAACAAGAAATGGCCCCAATTAATAACTGGTGTCCAAATCCATATAAAGCACCTAGATGAGAATCCAACAGAATGAAGAAAGCCAAAAACACAAAGCCAGGAAAAATCCTTAAAACAAGATCAAATAATTTCAGATTTCAAAATAAATACCTAAAATATATATGGTGAGAAATTTAAGTAGAGTTGGGGACCAGGAATTTTGTACTCGGAGTCCAAATCACTGTAACTAATATGTTTAATTTGCTAATTTTATGACACTCCCCTAAACCCTTCATGTCATAACTAGGGGGAATGTATGTTTAATGCTGATAATCCTCCTGTTCTCTGCACGAGGAGAGCGTTTAGGAAGATACGGGGGCCAAGCATACAGTGGATACTGTTGTTAGACTATCTCAAATGACGTAACGGGATGCCCCTGGCCTATTTTACCACTCCAGTCCGCTCTGAGAGGGAACTCATCCAGAAACAGTGTGAGAGTGCAGTGGCGATGTTACAGTACAGCAGCAGCGTATTCTAGGAATCCAGGGCATTTACAGACGTGGACACCCACGTACACTGCTCGAAAGTACTGATCCATAATTTACACCTATCTGTCTACTCTCAGTTCTGACATCACTTCGCTAGCACAAAGATGGCACACAGTGTACCGAACAAATCGTGCACACACACACACACACACAGTCAGTCAATCACGCACACTCATTAAGACCAAACACAACGTCTGTGTCAATCACAGCATTCACACCTGTAATGCTATCTGGACGGTACACAAAGCCACACACAAAGCACCTGGATCACATGTAGCTATTCATATTCAAGCCAAAAAAACTCATTATATTTAACCTTGCATTATTAATGCGCTTCATCAAAGGGCACACATGCACACTTAGAGATGTAGATACAGACAGGCGGGCTACATGACCACTTATACTCTAAATTTAGCCTAGCCTCTGAAACCATCGGGGACATCCAGTTCTTTGACAATCAATTGACAGAATATTCAGCGATTCAGCCTTTGCAATTCAGATGAGATGGTGTCTCTGGAGGTTTCCAGACAACAAACGGACCCCATTACGCGCTAGTGTTCAAATCCATGGATAAAGCACATGGATAAACACCTACAGTTCAAAATACGGCAGTAAAAATCCTTGAAAAAAAGAATGATTTCATAAGCAAATATTATAGACAATTTCAGAGAATATATCTCGAATTAAGTTATTTTTCTTGCGCCACTGGATTTTTTTCTCCTTGTTTTAAGCTTAATGTTTGCCAGTATGATAAGATAAATAAACCTCAAATATTCATTATATATATATATATATATATATATATATATATTAGGGCTTTCAAACGATTAATCGCATCCAAAATAAAAGTTTGTGTTTACATAATATATGTGTGTGTACTGTGAATAATTATTTTGTATATAAATGCACACATGTATATATCTAAGAAATATGTTATTTATATATAAAATGTTTATATAAAATATACAATATATATAGGCTACATTCAGTCTATATACAGTATATACATGCAAATATTTCTTAAATACACATGCATGTGTGGGTATTTATGTATTAAAAATAATTATACACAGTACACACACATATATTATGTAAACACAAACTTTTATTTTGGATGCGATTAATCGTTTGACAGCCCTAATATATATATATATATATATATAAGAAAATTAAGAAAAGCATACATCTCTATTTTCAACTGCATACAATTTAAAAATCCTAAAACAACACACTAACAGCATGTGCCAAACTGAAGGGCCGTAATTTTGAAAGTGTGTATGTAAATAAGGGCAGCTGGTCAGTAGGCTTAGAAGAAGGGGAGGACACATGGAAATACCTCGTCCCTGGGGAAAGGGGCGGCCCGTGGCTGACATTCAGCCTGGCTCACCCCTTCATGAGACAGAGGGCTGGAACTCAATACGGGTCATGCCTGAATGTCAGCGCAGTGAAAGGTCAGCGGGGACATGTGAGGCTCATCACGTTCTTATCATCCATGAGGCTTCAGCAGCGAGGACTGCACTGCATTAGCCCTGACACCTACTAAAGCAATCTTGATACAAAGGGCAAAGGTCAGGGAATCATTATTAACACGCATATTATGGGATTCTCACTCTGCTGGGGCATTCGGCAGAACACATAACTTGCTTTCTCCGCCTCTTACGTTGTCCTCATTGTCCTTTATATGAGATACTATCTCTCGCTATTTCTTATCTATGCTGTGTACAGCAAAACTGGATACTATTCATATTGAGGTGGCAGTAATGACAACTGATAAAATGGCTTTTTATGGCTCATATGCTTTTCAACATTTCTCAAAGTGTCTTTAGCATCTGCAGTGGTTTTCAACTTGTGGGTCACAAGCTAAAAATGTGTCATGTCTGTTCTGATAGGATCATGGAACTCACCATATGGTGTTTAATTAAGATAGTGAAATAAACAGGCTTATGAACTTTTAAAAGGAAGAAAAAAAAAATGTCCAATCAAACTTCCAATGAAGTTTTATCGTCAACCACGGTGTGCTTTGTTGTGTGAATTATTGACTGCTGAGAGCATGAAACTGTTGCATTCAAGAAACAAAAATGGTCCAATTCAGCATGTTAAGAATTTTGATTATTTGATTGTTTGGCCTATGTATTTTCAATGTTTTACTAAAGTTTTAAAGACTTTTTAAAATTTCTATATGATAACTTATCGGGTAAAATCTGGGTCGTGAAACAAAAGTTGTCAAGACGCACTGTGACAAATATAGTTTTTTTTTTTGGTCACAAAAGTTTTTTTTTTGTGACAATTTTTTTCATAATTTTTTCATAATCTTAATTAAATCATACTTTTAAGTTCATTATCTTACACCATTCTTTTTTTTTCTTGGTTTAAGCATAATATTTGAAAAATAAGTGTAGAAATTTCTAAATATTCTCAGAAAACAAGTCTAGATATACTAGATGTTTGTTCTTGCTATCTTGGTTGTACTATTGGTAAATATTTTTATTTAGAAAACAAATCCGTAAATAAATTCACAATATATTCTCTGAAAACAAGTGTTATGTTACACAATTTGGTTTTGAAGCTGTTTGGATATTTTTACTTACAACCAGGGGGAAATATATTTTTCAATTGTAAAATAAAGGTAGTAAGCATAAATTGGCCTAAATGAATGCATAGGCCTACATGCATAAATTCAAGATATATTCCAAGACATATCCTATCCAGCAAATTAACAATTTTGCAATTAGTTTGGCCTATGTAGAATGTAATATTAAATTTCAATGTTTGATTTTAAAGAAATTTTAATTTATATATGATAACTTAATTAAAGCCACTTAATGCCCAGTGTAAAATCTGGGTCTTGAAACAAAAGCAGTTGAGAAGAACTGTGCATAACTATTTCTCAAACTTCATCGGTACACCCTTCCTTATTCCAGCTTGAGGGGTATAAAGGTCTCTATATTCTTTTGGGGAGTGAATTCAGATTGTGGTCTATAGAGATATGCATGCGTGTTAATCTCTCTGTCCAGGCCGTACAGATGTGCAGTTGGATTCTCCAATGGCTCTTTTATTATTCAGCCTTTAAGAAGATTAGTATGCTCTCCTCCTCTCTTATCCTCTCCTGCCCCTCTACAAGAACCCATGGGATCCATGGGTTTGAAATTCCACATTTTCTCATAGCATCTCGTCAATTTTTTTTTTTTTTTTAAATACTGTGAAACCTGTAAGAGAATCCATGTGTTAGCATACAAAAATATTTACCAAAATATGACCATGTTTCTTTGGCTGCTCAAATGATTACTGTATTTATACCATAGTACTTACACAGCACTCCGTGGTACTAGTACATGGTACAAAAATATTTTGAGGTGCCATGTCCAAAAAATGTACTTTTTGGTACTATTTTGTAGCCACACACTAAATCAAAAGACTCTTTTCCGTGCTGATTTTGAAAATCTGACAAATTAATTTAAATATGTCGAATTTATTAAATGGAGCTAAGAATACTAAAGTTTTTCAGATAAAAATACTAATATCTGAAAGCATTTTAAAATTAGCCAACGAACATGGAAGGATTTGTATAATTCTACGAATTGCAGATGTTCCCGTTTTGAAGATTCTGTGGAGTTCCATGTGCATTTAGGCCCGATTATTCATTTTATTCTCACTGTTTAACTATCAAACACACTGCCAGTTCTTCTCTAACTGTTTTGGCTTCCAACTGTCATCTTTTTGCTTCTCTTTTGCTTCGTAGAGGAACATCATAAGCCAGACTGGGAATACAGCTGTCGAAAACACTGAGGAATCCAGAGCAACGATGCTTGGAAGTCACCTAACAAAAGAAATCTGAGTTCATGTGATGTCTTTTGGAGGATGGTCTCCCTTCACATGGTAAGTAAACAGATTGAAAAGTTCCTTTGGTACCAGAGTGACGGTATCCCTAAATGCACTTTAGTATCTTCGGAGAAACTCTTAAGCATGTCTTAGGCGATGTCGCACTCTCTCAAAAACCAACATGAACATACAAATCCCAGGCTTGGTGCATCAAGTACATGCTCTTCACCAGTAATTAAAATCCTATGGGCGCAGAAGGACAGGTAATTAAAAAGGCTAGGATCATGGCTAACCATAATCCACTAACGAACGCTCCTCGGCTGCTTCTCTTCATGTTCCTGAAAAGCCTTCAGACAATTTGAGGACATCAAAAAGCTGAGAAAACCTTGAAAGGCATATCAGTCCAGGTTGAGGTAGGACAAACCTGGTCAGTCCTGATCATTTAAAGGTTTTACAGGCTGATCTGACACCCTGTGTGACTCCTAAGCCTATATTAGCTTACAGGCATGAAGTTAGAGGACGTCCGAGGTAAAGTGAGCTAAAGAGTTCAAGGATAACAATGCATGTCTTGTGAGAACAACCACATATGTTTGTACTGAGATATATATATATATATATATATATATATATATATATATATATATATATATATATATATATATATATATATATATATATATATATATATATATATATATATATATATATATATATATATATATACATATCAGGGATGGGCATTTGTTTACTTGAGAAGTCAACATCTTAATATCTAATAAACTTCTTTTTGTAAACTTATGCTTGCAAAGTGTGCCTGTGCTTTTGTTATTCAAAAGAATATTGACTTGGATTTACATTTTTCTATTTAATGCAATGACAGTCATACTTATAAGCATGTATGCAGTTTACATAATTGTGCTATTGCTATTCAAATTACTTGTATTAATTACAATATTATACAATTATTATAATATTTTGCTAAAGCAATTACATGCTGAATTCTTTGTTGACTTTGTAAATCAAGTTAACAAACTAAGGCAAAGTATCAGAAAGTGACACCATTATCTTCAAATGAAACCGAGTTTGTTTTGGCACATTTGTGTATAGTTATACACTGGATTTGAATTGGTGTGAAATGTTTTAAAGATGACAAAAGTCACAGTTATTCTGTTTTTATCATCAATAACTTGTCAGTAACACTTTATTTTGATGGTCCCTTTTGAACATTCTACTGACTACAAGTAGCTTAGCACCTACATGTCAATCAATTCTGACCCTAACCCTACCAGTCTACTAATACTCTACTAACACTCTAATGGGAGTTAGTAGACATGTAAGCGCAACGTAACTTATAGTCAACAGAATGTGTTAAAGGGACCATCAAAATAAAGTGAAACCCTATTGTCATTTGAAATCGAGTACTAGTGGCCATCCCTTTACACACTGGCCTGTTCCCGCTGGCCGTATGTGTGGCACATGTGAACATTTGTTTGTGGTTGAAACATAAGAGTCATTGATTCAGTGCAGAGACGTGGCTCTGCTCCACACTCCCTATAAGGCATGATTCAGCAGGCAACAATGAGCATCTCAGCATGAGGACAAACTTCATAAAGAGCCTCTGTTTCAGAGGAAAATCAATAAGAAAAACTTAGGAAGGCAGAGAACGCAAAAAAGGGACTGGATTAAATGAGGGATCAAGGAAAGAGCATGGTCGCCATGTACGCAGCAACGAAAGAAGAACCAGCGGTGAGGAATGGAGAAATTTCAACAAAAACTGCAGCTCATTTTCACATTTCATTACAGAAAGAAAGCTATACAGCATAAGTAGATGACCAAATGATGACAGTCATTTTTAATTGAATTCTTTTTTTAATATTTATTGTGTCCCTATTGCATTGCAAGAGCGGATCCTAGATGTTGCAGAGCTGCAGTTTCCTTCAATAGCATGGGAAGCAAAAAGTGAAACGTAAAAGACGGGAATTGGAAGGTGCAGGGCAGCCAGTGAGGTACTGTGCTATAGACCAGACTCACCCCATCCCTATACAGGCCTGAGGGCTCATTCAGCCCCCTGCCTACAGCGCCGCCCCCGCACCGAAAGGCGAGAAGTTGAGGTGACTCCTCTGGAAGAGAGGAAAGACAGACAGAGAGAGAGAGAAAGCATTCAAAACACATATAGCATTTCTTACATTCTTTTCACAACATGAAATCATGTGCTCAATACCTGTGATTACCTGGAGCAGATGTGCAGACATGATTGAATGCTAAAGAAACTACAACAAACTGGATTGTATGATTTCCAGTACAAGGTTGCTTTGAAAAAAAAAAATGTACGCAATGACTGATAATATTTATTTTTTATAGTAGCCTGAAAATGTGTTTAGACACTTAAGTCACATTAGACTCCTTATATTCAAAATATAAAATCAATCACATGATCCACTAAAGGAGTGCATGCAAAATCACTTTTGATAAAACAATGAATATCAATTACAATAGAAATAATGCTAAATTCAGAATATTAACAAGTACTCATTTTCCACAATACTCTAAAATATGCATTAAAAAAGAGCATCCACATATTTTGATTTTGAACAGTACATATACTGTTTTATGATTTATATACAGACGGACAGACAGAATGATAGATGGACAGACAGACAGATGGACGGATGGATGTGTTTGTGCCATCTTTCTTTAAAACAGATGCTACTTGGTTTGCTATTGAATTATTACCAATGACATTCATACATTTGGAAGTCTTGGTTAAGTGTCTAAATACCTCATGGGGCCACGCTGTATCTACAGTCGGTCAACATCTACGGGCCTGCGTGATGCACAGCAGATCTGTCAGAAGAAAATGCCTCTTCCGACCTTATCGCATACAGACACGGAGCAAGAATACTCCATTACAAGAGCGCTTGTCCGGGAACACTTCATTCCTCCTGCTGTCATTTTCCAAGCAATCTTCTGCACCCTGCGGATCTGAATGCTGATAAGGCCGGATTGTGCTCGCCTCATTCTCGCTCTCAATCTCCGGCGAAACCAAGCTGATCAATAATTAAACATCATGATCTTCCGCGTGTTATGGGACGTTACAATGTGGATCAATAAGGAGCGGATGGACCAGACGAGAGGAGGAGTGAGAGACGGGGGAATATGAAGCAGGCGTGTGCTAATACATGATAAGAGGCATTAAAATGCTGTTTCCTGCTTCCGAGTGCCATAAGGACATTAAGAGGTAGAGCGTCCCTTTGAGGATGACCCCTAGTAGGGTTACATTTGAGTGATGAGAGCACATCGTCACTGCCATCTGTTTTTCCTCAAGTCAGGCCTTCGATAAAAGGACAGGTTTTACCTAGCCTGGATGCCAGCCCGAACCCCGCCCACAACATTTTTTGGTCGGGAAGTTCGGTCTGGACTCGATCCATTGAGGAGTAATTATGATCGGTTCAGAAATGGTCGGCCAATCAAATTGCCAGGGCGGGCTTTATACGATGATGGACAGATGATCTGCAGTTACGTAATCATCACGTTATCAAAGAGCGCTTGGGTTGAACTGGTTTCCCTCAAAGATGACTGCAGCTGGAGAATAGAGATGTATAGATCCCGCTATCGCGTCTGTTGTAAAAGAAATCGACAGCGCATTCATTTTAAAAGACGAACAGAGAACTGCAATCAAGGCATTTGTCGATCGGAAAGATGTGTTTGCCGTCCTTACTACGGGATTCGGCAAAAGTTTATTTTATCAGCTGGCTCCGATGGTCGCTAAGAAGATGGGACGCAATGAAAACCCTGCGGTCGTTGTGGTTTCTCCTTTGGTCGCACTCATGGAGGACCAAGTAAAAGAAGCAACACCCATTATTTTACTACTTCTTCCAGCGTGCGTGTTGTTGAGTTCTGTTGACAATTTGCGTAGCTCATAAAAAAAAACACTTACTGCGTTGCTCTGATTGGTTGTAGGTCTATCCAATTGAGTGCAGAGTTTTTTTTTTTCCTGGTTCGGTTAAGACACGCCTCATAATCAAAGCCCTATGGAGCAGAATCAGACTCACATTCTGACTAGAATATGAGTATGACGAAGTCAGGCTAGGTTTTACCGGTACAGATCAGGTCTTGTGTTGTTTGATGCCACATCGCTAAATGCATCAACACCGAGATGGTGGACATGATGTTTTAGCATCGGTTTGTTCGATGTTTTGAGAGAGCGTATCTGGCACAGCGCGGCGAATCTGAAACTTCAGTGTAAAGTTACCAGAGGACTGAGTATTGGTTGTGAGTGAGCATATACTCTAGTTGATGTGGTTTGAAAGGTTAGTGTCCAGTTTCAGAGAGTACTAGCATGTAGCTCACTTCCCTCGGTAGGGGGCAATTCTGTCACTGTGAATATTTCATTATTCAATTGAATGATTTAAGTTTTATTTAAGGTGAGCTCAGCATCTGTACAACAACAACATGTTTAAAGATATTTAGTAGATATGTATCAGTCTTTTTTTATTATTATTTTTTTTTACATTCACTTCCTGGTTTCAATGCAGTCCTGTGACCTTGACCCCTATCATGTGACACAGGCAGGAAACCGAGGACAGAATGGGATCCGGTAACCAGAGACCCCGTGGCATTCAGTGCTTCTTGAGGTACAAAGCGTCTCGGGTGTCATTAGTGAAATGCAAAGTGCTTCTACCCTGTTACCTTTCTAAAATACAACCCAACATTGCAATACATGCTCAAGACTTCAGGGTGGAGAAATGTGCGAGGTTGGTCTGGTTAGACGGATGTGAAACCAAACTAGATTGCGCCATTAAAATCAATACAGATGTCTGCATGTGAAATTAAATGCGTGATGTGGTGTGTGTTTAACTGACGGACATCCTGTTCCTATGTACAGTATGTTGTAATATCATGCACACACTACCGTTCAAAAGTTCGTGGTGAGTAAGATTTTATTTTTTAAAGAAATTCATACTTTTATTTGGCAACGACACATTAAATTAATCAAAAGTGACATCTATCATGTTACAAAATATTCCCATTTTAAACAAATTGTTCTTTTACTAAAG